AATTTTTTTTAGTCATCAATCAATTCTAAATTACGAAGTGCAAATATAAAAACACATTTCATCAACATATTAAATTATTATTATTTTCACAAAAAAATTATAAAAAAACAAATATATCCTTCAGTATGAAATTATTTGAAAATTATATTTTATTCCAAAGATTTCTACAAAACATTTACTAATTACAATATAAAAATCCATCAATCGAATAATTTAGTGATTTTTTTGTTGTTTTATTTTTAATAAAAGAATTTATATTTCAGTAATTTTTTGTCATTTTTGTTTTTTAGCATTTCGTACACTCGAAATTATGTCCAGGGCGGAAGAAAATAATAATTTAATTTGTTATTTGAACCCTAGAAATAAAAAAAAACCAATAAAAAAATAAATTACCCTCATTAAGTTTAAAATATTCAATTCAAAGTGCATTGTGAATGATTTATTGTGTTTCGACGGTGCAACATGCTATTAATTTATTTCAAGGGTGCGAAGTGTCAATGTCATATTTCAAGGGTGAAAAATGGGATTAAGCCCTTTTTAATCTATATTATATATAAAACTAAGATACACAATAAAATTTATCTACTTGAGGAGATTGAGTCCACATTTTTTTATTCGTTTCAAAATAACCCCACTTACCATAATCACCATATTATTATGTAATTAATTTCACATAATTAGTTTTCAAATTTTATCTCTCCTACATGTCAAAATAGTGTCTTTTTATTGGTTATTGAGTTTCCTTTTTTAATCCATTTTTCATAATAAATACGTAAATATATAAATGGATATAATTCTTTTTTTGGTTTAATTAATTTTATACACAATATTATATTAATTGCAAAAAAACCCAATTATCATAATTATATATATTATTAATTAATTAATTTCACATTATTGATTTTCAAATTTTATCTCTCCTACATGTCAAAATAGTGTATTTTTATTGGTTCATGAGTTTCTTTTTTTTTTTTTTTATAAACAATATTTTGATTTAAAAAACGTAGGACTTAATTGCAAATTTTATAATTTCACAATTGAGTAAATTTTATGCACAATATTATATTAATTGCAAAAAAACCCACTTACAAAAATCACCCATATTATTGATGAAATAATTATTATCGCTACATATTAGACGTTAATACTGTTATCTTTGTACAATTATCGCTACATAATTATAAATGAATTTTATAATAAATAGGCTATTTTGTTATCACGACAGATGACGTTTGAGTACTAGCACAATGGTGCATCTACATCATGTGAAGATCCATTCCAAGTTACAAAATCCTATTATGAATAAAATAAAAGGTGCGATCTTATTTTTTGGTGAGTAATTTTATGCCTAAGTTTAAATGATTAAGTGTGCAATACATGTAGACAATGTATTAGTTTTTTCTTTAATTTCGACAGAAGCTGAATGCTTACTATTTTGTTAGTGTTTCGTGCAAAATGTAAAGGAGATGTCAAGGAGTCATAAAACAATAGACTCTGTAACACGTGTGTTGGATATGAAATCAGTACTTGCTATGTTGGTAGATGACGATTTACAGATGGTAAGAGAAATTTCTTCCGACAACGGAGGTAATTATCTTTGTCATTATCTCATAACATATCTCATTGTTATGCGTTATTGTCAGTATATTTTTCTACTGTAAATGATAATTTGTTGTTTTTAAATGTAGATTTTGAATATGTCTCCGACGATGTAGTTGACGATATTGGTAAATATTATTTTAATCTAAAAACTTTTAATCTTTACATTATTAATTATATAAATTCATTGTATTAATTTATTTAATAACTAATATTATTTAATTCATTTTTGATAGATTATGAAGATCTTGGAGTCCAAATGTATGAATGTTCGTTTTGCGGTGCAATGATGTGGTACGGCGAAAGAATTGACAAGCACATACAAACATGCAGGCCAAAATTTGGCCTAAGTTGTATGTCCGGGAAAGTCCAGCTCCCAAAAATAAGAGATGCATCTCCTACACTTAACAATTTAGTGTTTGGAACTGATCGAAGGAGCAAACATTTCCAATAGCACGTACGATCGTATAATATGATGTTTTCTTTCACGTCGCTTGGTGGAAAAGTGCATACATCTATTAATAACGGATCTGGTCCATACACATTTCTATTACACGTCCAAAATTACGATCTACTGGGCAGTTTATTGCCGAAAGAAGGCACTAGGCCTAAATTTGCTCAGCTTTACATTTTTTACACAAAAAATGAGATTCAGAATAGAATTGATGCCGTTTGGAAAAAAATTGGGAATTATATCCCTGTTTCTAAAGAGTATAGATCTTACAAATTATAATTATATTTTTTTTTGTTTGGCAGGTCCGGAAATCAATCTAATGATCTTGGCTCAGCCATCGCTGCATCGTTGAAAGATATGATTGATGGTAATAATGTACTTGCACAGTCGTACCGTGTTGTTTGAGATCGGTTTTCCAATGATGGCCATCAATGAGTAAAACTTAGATTGGTAAAGAGTTGCAGTACTGATGGCAGGACGTACAATATTCCTAACACAAGTGAAAATAGCAGGCTTGATCATTGGGAACTTTGACACAGAAGAGGGTGTTAGGGATATTGTAGTTGAGACACGCTCAAATAAGCTTCAACGAATCAGTGAGCTCCATCTTCTTTAATTGCCTATACAATATCCTCTTTTATTTCCTTACGGTGAATATGGTTATTGAGACAATATAAGTTTGAGAGAATCTTCGCTTGCTGATAATAGAAAATGGAGGAATGTAAGCATGCGAGAGTTCTTTGCATATCTAACCTAAAAACGACGTGGATAACATTTGTTACTGTTGCATTCCAAGAAGTTATTTCAACAGTTCTGTGTTGATGGATTTTCAATGGTACAGTCACAGAGGTTGAATTTCATAAGGTTCAATCAGGATCAACTTAAGGTTGACATGTACAAAGGTATCAAAGAAAAGATTTTTAAAGGAGACACTTAAATGATTTTCCAGGGTCGTTCACCGCAGGTCCAAGGTATATGTTTAACAACTTCATTGATGCTCTTAAAATATGTAACTGGATTGGATTTCCAACCCTCTTCATCGCCATCATATGCAATCCTCAATGGCCAAAAATACAAAGGGTGTTGAAAGATACAAATCTCAGGCTGGAGGATCGGCCAGACATTCTTTGTCGCGTGTTCAAGATGAAGCTCGATAGTATGATGACAGTAAGCAAGAAGGGCTGTATATTCGGACGTATTAGAGCATGTAAGTATTTAATTAGATCTCAGTTTATAATTATACATTTACTACATTCATATAAATTAAAGAATTTGGTCATGTGTGAGTTTAACTACTTATTGCTTTCTTAACTAAATTAATGCATATTTTTTTAATTCCATATGTTTATATTTTCTATGCAGATGTATGCACAATTGAAATTCAGAAACGAAGTCTACCGCATGCACATATTTCATTGTGGTTCCATAATGAAGATAAGCCCAAGAACTCAGAACAAATTGACAAAATCATATGTGCTAAAATCCTGACGAATAAAACGACCGAAAGATGTACCAGTTGGTGGAGAAGTATATGATACATGGACCGTGCGGTCAGGCGAATTTGAAATCTCCCTGTATGAAGGATCGAGTTTGCACGAAGCGATTTCCAAAGCCGGTTGTACGGCGCACTGAATCAGATGCATATGGTTTTACTGTGTACATGAGAATGGAAGACGGCAAAACAATTACGAAGAAGAAGACTACTTTTGACAATGGGTTTGTAGTCCCGTACAATCGTATATGGTTGAGTAAATACCGATCTCACATTAATATTGAGTTATGCAACCAGAACAAGTCAATCAAATACATGTTCAAATACGTAAACAAGGGGCATGACCGAGTTACGGTGGCATTTTATGAAATACGGAATACAGATGGCGGTGTTGAGATTCGTGATGAGATAAAGATGTACTACGACTGCAGATATCTTTCGGCATGTGAAGCAATGTGAAGGTTGTTTAACTTTGATATTCATTACAGAGACCCGTCCATAATTAGGCTAAGCTTTCAACTCCCCGATCATCAGCCGCTTGTCTTCAATGAAAACCAATCATTTCAAAGTGTGCTGGATAGGCAAACTATGTTCCTAGCGTGGTTTGAGGCCAACATGAACTATCCACATGCTAGGGACTTGAGGTACGAAGATTTTCCACAACAATTTGTATATAAAGAGGATTCTTGAACTTGGGCGCCAAGGAAAAAATGATTTTCTATTGGTAGACTTGCGAATGTTCCCCCTGGAAAAGGGGAAGACTATTACCTTAGGCTGCTACTTAACATTCATAGGGGATATACGTGCTACGAGGACATCAGAAAAGTTTTTGACACCGTCTACCCTACGTTCAGGGATGCATGTTATGTTTTGGGTCTGTTAGATGACGATAAAGAATACAGAGATGCAATAATAGAAGTGAATACTTGGGCACTGGGGGGTTATATAAGAAGGTTATTTGTAGTTATGCTTCTTTCCAATAGCTTAAGTCGGCCCGAACATGTTTGTCAAAGTTGTTGGTTGGATTTGGCGGAGGGTATTGCTTACAAACAACAACGTCTTTATAATAATTCAGGTATGACAATTTGTATAGCACAGTATTCAATTAGATATTAAATATTACTCATTCTTTTAATATTGTCTCTTTACGTTTTGAACTAAATGCACATAATTTATGCATTTTTTTTTGAAGATTTACATATATCGGATGAAAACTTGAAGAACTATACTCTCACCGAAATAGAAAAAATATTGCAAAGCAATGGTAAAAGCCTGCGAAATTACGCGCCCATGCCAGTTCCAATCGAATTCTCAGCGGAGGAACAATAAACATATTGGTGTTAGATGAACTGGATTACGACCGGTTTGAAATGGGTAGAGAACTTCAATGGTGTCTTGCTTGAATTACAGACGAGCAAAGAAATGTTTATGATGTAGTCATGGATGTTGTATCCAATGACCGTGGTGGAATGTTCTATTCTATATGGCCATGGTGGAACATCAAAGACGATTCTATGGTTAACTCTTTCGGCTGCAGTTCGTTCTAAGGGAGAGATTGTAATTAACGTTCCATCGAGTGGTATAGCATCGTTATTGCTCTCCAGTGGAAGAACAACTCATTCCCGATTCGGACTACCCATAAATGTACACGAGAGTTTCACCTGCAGCATATCGCAACAAAGTCCACATGCGGAGTTGCTCATAAGGGCAAAGCTTATTATATGGGACGAGGCTCCTATGATGCGTAGAGACTGTTTTGAAGTGCTTGACAAGACAATGAAGTCAATATTACAGGTTGACAAACTCTTTGGTGGTAAGGGGGTTGTTCTTGGAGGAGATTTTAGGTAGATTTTACCAGTTGTGCTCAAAGCATCAAGGCAGGACATAGTATATGCTACGATAAACTCCTCTCTGCTATGGAATTTCTGTCGTATCATGAAATTGACTAAGAACATGAGATTGCAGTCATGCTCTTCTCCATCTAACGTGGATGAGGTAAAATAATTTGGAGACTGGATACTAAAGGTTGGTAATGAGGATGATGGGGAACAAAACGATGGTGAAGCTTCGATAGAGATTTCCGATGACATGTTGATTGGTGATTCAGACGATCCATTCAGAGACCTACTGGAATTCATTTACCCGGATTTGTTGAGTAACATGTATGATCCAAATTATTTTCATGGGAGAGCAATTCTTGCACCAACTAATGAATTCGTCGAGTCTGTGAACGATCACTTAATGTCTCTCCTTCCAGGAGGAGAGAAGGTGTACCTGAGCTCAGATAGTATGTGTAGGGACGAGCAAACAATGAAGGATAATGCAGAAATTTATTCGACTGAATTTCTTAACACAATAAGATGCTCCGGACTTTGTTCTCATGCGTTGAAGTTCAAGGTTGGTGCACCCGTTATGCTAATAAGAAACATCGATCAAGCTAGAGGATTGTGTAATGGGACTAGACTTCAAATTATTAAAACTGGTATTCACGTTCTGAGTTGCCAAATTCTTTTTGGAAAAAAAATATCGGTGACATGGTGTTCATTCCTCGGATGACTTTAATACCATCTAACTCCGGACTGCCAATTAAATTTAAGAGAAGACAGTTTCCATTAATTGTTTCTTTTGCAATGACAATCAATAAAAGTCAAGGTCAAACTCTTTCGCATGTTGGTTTGTATCTTCCTAGGCATGTCTTCAGCCATGATCAACTATATGTTGCACTGTCCAAAGTTATGAGCAGAGGTGGCATTAAGATATTCATCAAGTCGGATTCGGGCGAACTCACCAATGTCACTAGAAATGTCGTGTACAATGAAGTATTTCATCGAATTTGAAGGTAGAAAATATTTTCATATTTACCAATTATTTATGTAACATGTTTTTTTTAACAACTTATTCTTTGGCAGGTGTTTCTTCTCTATATAATTTCCCCCGTGCGATGTTATTTTCAGCCATGTCCCTAGGATGCTCAGTGCAAATCTTATTATCCTTAAGATTTATTTTTGACGATATACTAATATTTATATTATTCTTATGATGTAACTATGAAGAACATGATACTTAAAGCATATTTTTAATATTGTTGGTCGCGCTTTGTATTTAAATTCAATGAGCGTAATAAAATATGTATTTCAGACATGTATTTCCAGTTGAAAATATGCCGCCCCGTGCATCGCACGGGTGAATACTAGTAATTATAATTAGTTAATTAGGCCCAACCAAATAGTGAGTTATTTGGCCCAATCCCAAACTAATTTCACTAGCCACCTTTGAATCGGTTGGAATGAGTTAACAGACATTGGCTATTTAATATTTAGGTGGTGTTTGCAAAAGCTTTTAGAAATAGATTATGAGCTTTTTTTCTCACACACTTTGTTTTTAGATGTTTGCAAAGTTGACTTTTGCTTTTGCTTCTCTTAAAATAAGCTGATTTAAGCTATAATTTTAAAAGCACCCATGTACTTGTTTTTTTTATTTATATTAATTTTTCAGATTTTTTCAAACACCCCAAACTTTTAGAATTACCCATTTTGATAATCCCGTTGGAGTAGAAATTGTTAGTTTTGGGATATCAAAAAGGTAGTTTATGGGGTTGATAATCCATTTGATACTCCCATTGGAGTTGCTCTTAGAGGGATAAGTGTTACAAATGATACTTTACGGGATAAGTGTTACAGATGATATACATTAGGGGTGTAAATTGTATTTAAACCTTTAGGTTTTAATAGAGTGTTGATTTACACAAGGTTTTATATTTAAAAATTTTATTGTTTTTTCTTAGAGGGAGAATCAAAGAACCGGTACAAGCATACACTTTTACTATGTAAGTATGGAAATAATGTATTTTTGGTGTTTTAATATTTAACATTTCCAGCTTTCTAGGTAGTATTTTTCCGAGAATGAGCAAATGCAACCATGATATCGAAGAAGTAGCAATCATTAATATAAGGGCAAATTACGGCGACCCCTGAGGTATGGCTAAATCACGAAAAAAGTCCCACTTGTTGGATAATTACAGCCGCCCACTCCTTTTAAATATTTTTACATTAAATTTATGTAATTCGGTTATTTAACGAACCAAATCGTATATCCAGTTCCGTAAACGGTATGAAATGTTGGCGTACCGAAATTTCGGTTCGGTTTTACCAATTTAACATCCCTAAATTTACCTCAGCAGGGGTTTTTTCATAAAATAATACATAGTTGAGAGGGGTGGCTATAATTACCCACAACAGGAGTGGGTTTTCGTAATTTAACCATAACTCAGGAGGTGGCCGTAATTTTCCCTTAGTATAATTTTATCAAATATATATTTCCGCTTAACATTACAAATGACAATAGATGGAGACAATCTGAATTTGGAGAGACTCTGAGTGCATAAATTGTTGTTCTCACTTTTTTCTTATTTTATTTAATTACTTACTTTTTTGGAAAAAGTTGTTCTTTCTAATATATTGATAATGTAGTTAGAAATCAACATTAATTTTTTTTTTTGAGAAAAGAATTCAAAAATTAATTGATGTATTTAGATATGAAGTTACATTAATCCGTGTACAACATATTATGATTAATATTCTTGCTACGTGTAAGTTATGGCGCAATTTATTTGTGCTACGTACTTTAATATTTAACACGTAGCTCCCGGAAATTTTAGGGCCTTATGAATGAAACAACAAAGTGGCTATAGATAAGTCATGGTATCAGAAATGCAGTTAGGTGGTGTTGTAAAAGCTTTTGTAAAGTCAATCTCAGCATTTTTTGGCTCAAAATCACTTAGAGAGTGTTTGTAGTACCAACTTCTGCTTCTAATCTTGTAAAAATACATTGTTTTAAGCTAAATATAAAAAGATGCATGGACCAACTCCCCCTAAAATAAGTTGCTAAAATAAGTTCCTAAAGTTGATTTTTCATGGACTTTGCAAACACCTCCAATTAGAAATAAACAATTATCGTTAACTTAACTTTTAATTACCAACTTCTGTTTTTTTTTTTTAATGTTTTTACGAGCACCACCTTACTATGACAAGGTTTGCTTTGTAATATAATTTGCGACAAAGACAACTATACTACTTTATATATTTCTATTTGATTTCCAATGTTGACGTTGTTGTTTTCTATTTGATTTCTATTGTTGACATTATCACGACGCGTACACCGCACGTGCACCTGCCTAGTAATATAAAAAGTACATTACAAAAGTATAAAAATAGAATGTTTCAATTAAAGTGACAAAAAATTCTAAAAAAATACACCATTAGGAAAATTCATAAAATATAAAATATATAAGTACCAGAATTCTTTTTTTTTATAAGAATATGAATTCGATTATTGATTTAAAAAGCTGATAGAAAATCAGTTACAATAGATACATTTTGCTTTTTCAATATACATTTTTTTTTGTTTTACCAAAATCAATTCTCTCACCTTCTTCCCCAACATGCAAATTGTCTTATGGATTGATCCAACCAATCATCCCAGTTGCAATCGATGTTGCTGAATCTGTCTCCACATTCATCTCTTCTTCTCTTCGTCGACTTCCGACCTACTACCTCACGTATTTCACCAATAACAAAACTCGTAAATTATAAAAATTCCCACCTCATAATTGAATGTGTTTATTCTTCATTATCCGGCTATTCAGGCTTTTGGATTGCCGTCGGCCGTCCACCACCAGCATCTGGACTCGTCGCTCACCGTGAGAGGGCTACGCAGGGGCGTAACAAGGTAGGCCCAGGGGCCAGCCGTCCCCCTCCCCCAAAAAAAAGGGCAAATGACAAATATGCTCATGACAAGAGCACTTAATTAAAAAATAGACATCCAACACTTTTGTCGTCCAAATAAGGGTTTTTTGCAAAAACCACCTCTGTGTAATCTCGAATTTCTGAAAAAGACTTCGTGTTCAAATAATTAGCAAATACCCCCAATAAAAATTAGTCAAAGTTAATAAGGCCCTTGAGAGCTGACCGTGCACTTCACTCAAAATGTGACTGGGGGTTTGTTTTTTGACGAAAATACCAAAATGCAACCAGAAATTTCATAAGTACCAAAATGAACTTTTTAAAATTTTCAATTAAGTCCTTAATATTTCAATTAAGCCCTCTTCTTCAACCTCAGGAGCAGCCCTCCACTTTTTCATCGTGATTTTTTCCAGCAAACACCATCAACCAAACCCAGATCTGAGCTTGAAGTTCATTTCTATTTCAAATCCAAGAAAACAAATGGGAAGAAAAACGGCGCCTCAAACTTTTTCGGCACATCCATGTCCAAAGAAAAAAAAACCCTTCAAAGCACTTTTTTCCAATTTGTAAAACTTAATTCGTATCCTGAGGAAGAAGAAGAATGTCAAACTCGAAGAATCATTTGTCGTCACTGTGCAGTTACTCCGCCAAACTCGACGCCGACTATCCGATTCCACCATGCCGCCGCCACCGCTTTTGAATGCCACCGCCGCTACTATAGCTTCTGAATCCACAATTTCCGTCCATCAAAAATTGTTGTCGAGGCATTCTTTTCTTCCGATCTGAAAAAAAAATCCAAAAAATCCACCCCCTCCCCCGCCCCAACATGCTTTGGGGGGGTTGGGGCCCCCCGGCCCTCCCAATCTCTCTCTTTATACGAAGAATCGAAAAAACGGGGGGTATGCCCCCTTTTTTCGAGAAAATTTTGAAAGACTCGGTGGCGGGTGGGATAAGCTTAAAGAGGAATATTTTCAGGGGGGGAATTATTTTGAAAGGTTACTACCATACCCCAGAGCTTGGGGGGGTTTGGTTGCTCCCAAAAAAAATTCTAACGAGGGTTCTAGGCCTTTTTTTTTAAGCCGCGGGTCTTTCGGGGGGGCAAACACCCCAAAAGAGGGGGGGGCCCCCCCCCAATGGGGAATTTTTTTCCCCCGGAAAGAATAATATTTAATAAAGAAGGGTCGCCCATATGTTGTGGTGAATATATGGAGGCCGGTTTTTTTAGAGCCTCCAGGGGGGGAAATTTTTCGGTAAAATTCCTCCAATTTTTCCCGCATTGCACAAAAAACCCCCCGAAAATTTTTGGCCCGGTTTTTTGGCTTAAAAAATTCAAAACCAAAGGATCCCCCCAGGTTTCCCCGGGGGGGGGGCCCGTTTTTTTGGTTTTTTGCCGATAAAAACCCGGGGCATAAGAGGAGTTGAAAAAATTTTTTTCGCTTTTTGTTTGGAAAAGAGGTTTTTCTTTTTA